TCCCTAAAGCCATACTGTTTAAAGGTTGGTGAAAACAAGGTCTGGGAGCATGTTTGTGTGTGTGTCCAGCTTTCTCGTGTAGCATGTCCTTACGTTTTGTGTTGCAGTGTCCCATTTAGGAAGTCCTGTTTTAAGGGTTTTTGTGTACTTGGATGAAGTAATCAGAGGTGCGTTGGGGAAATGGGATTAGTGAGGCAAAGGTTTTTTTCTTCATGAACTCTGATAGTTGCATTGGATTCTTTTGTATTCTAATTGCTATATTTGTGTTTGCATAGGGGAAGAGGAGAGAGAACTGGTGAGTTATCTTGATTTTTAAAAAATGATAAAAGCCTTTACTCCCCGTGTTAACGCTGACCAACTCTGGATCCTCACACCTACTGACGGAGCGCATTCAAGCACTGACAGAAGCCAGGTTCACTTCTGAGCTGCTGAAAGGTGTGAGGCTTAGGGTGTTTGAGGCTGCGTTGCCCACAAAGGGAAAGAATAGGAAGAAGTGAGGTATGAAAGCGGCTGCTTGCTGCTTTAGTTTGTCCACCTGTTGAACGTTTACCCGCCATGACTTGGCCAGTTGTGTTTTGCTGGGTGATGGAACCAGACGGTGTTTTCCATTGGCTTTCTTTGGTGACTCTTGGTCAGCTCCTGAGTAACAGGATGCGGCAGCATCCCTGCGTTCCCTTCACTTCCTTGCCCTCTCCCTCCAGCAGTGGAGGGAACAGCCCTCATGGGAACTGCATCCTACTGCAGCTCCTGCTTTTTGCTTATTCACTTAAAAACTTTTTTTTTTTTTTTTTTTGAGATGGAGTCTTGCTCTGTTACGCAGGCTGGAGTGCAATGGCGTGATCTCAGCTCACTGCAACCTCCCCCTCCTGGGTTCAAGCGATTCTCCTGCCTCAGCCTCCCAAGTAGCTGAGATTACAGGTGCCCGGCACTGCATCCAGCTAAGTTTTGTATTTTTAGTAGAGATGGTGTTTCACCATGTTGGCCAGGCTGGTCTTAAACTCCTGACTTCTTGATCTACCCACCTCGGCCTCCCAAAGTGCTGGGATTACAGGCATGAGCTACTGCACCCAGCCTTAAAAACTGTTTCTTAAGTACTCTCTCCTTTTTTGGGGAGGAGCTGATGGTAGGAGGCCATTCCTTTCTGCCCCCGACTTACGCACTCTCTAAGGCAAAGGAAAGATTCAGAATAAATCCAACTTGTTTATAGAGTTGTTGTTAGTCCTTAGACCTCATCTCAACTGCCCTATTGAAGATAATGATTTATTGGGGAAAACAAAGAATGATAATTTATCCTCTTTATTAAGAAGTGATAATTCTGGGCCCACAGAAATCACTCAGTACCTACAGTGTGCCTTAAAGGGACTCTCATGATCACTCCCCTGTAAAGAATATTCTGGATCACGAAATGCAACTCTTGACCCTCTGGTTTGCCCATTTCCCACCTAGAGGCATCCTTGATACCCCTTCTACCTGCCTTTCTGTCCCAGGTATACCAGATGCAGCCACTGCCAACCTAGGCTTGTCCTGGGCGAGTGAGCTGTGAACCTGGAGACAGGGTGTTCTCACAGCCGGTGTTGATCTCCTCAGGCTTTGCGCTGATTCCCTCAGTGATATCAAAGTAATGCCTGCTCCTTGCCTTGCTCCTGAAAGGTATGGGATGCGGACATTTCAGTGTTTGATTTTTTTTTTTTTTTTTTTTTTTTTGAGACGGAGTTTCACTCATGTTACCCAGGCTGGAGTGCCATGGCGCGATCTCAGCTCACCACAACCTCCGCCTCCTGGGTTCAGGCAATTCTCCTGCCTCAGCCTCCCGAGTAGCTGGGATTACAGGCACGCGCCACTGTGTCCAGCTAATTTTTGTATTTTTAGTAGAGATGGGGTTTCACCATGTTGACCAGGATGTTCTCGATCTCTTGACCTCGTGATCCACCCGCCTCGGCCTCCCAAAGTGCTGGGATTACAGGCGTGAGCCACCGCGCCCGGCCTGAATTATTTTAAGAGATGTTTTATAAAAGTAAAAGGTTTTGTAGCTAAGAAGGTTTTTTTTTTCCCCTTTCTCTTAATTTCTTACATCTTTCCACACAAAGTTATCTTTCCAAGAATTTGAGGTGGTGATCACATCCTTCAAGACAGCCTTGTAGGCTGTGTGATTGCTAACAGACATGACTTAGAGCTTCTGCCCGAGTTCCCGCAGAAGCATCCTGTCATTTAACATCGCAGCGACACCCGATGCCAGCATAACGTTTCTTCTTTGGTGCACCAAGACCTTCCCTTAGTGATAACCTCTTGATTATGAGATTCATTTGAGTTTAGGGTGTATAATTTTTCCTAAAAAAAAATTCACGTCGATAGTTATAATTTTAGCAAATATTAGTTGAGCACTTACAACATGCCAGAGATGGTTCTAGTGCTGTCACATACCTTATTTCACCTTCACAGCTCTAACAGCTGTTTGTATTCCTTTTATTCCCATATTACAGAATGAGGAAGCTAATCGGAGTTCATTAGTTTTCCTCATGTCCTCAAGCATGAGAGGCGAGGCAGTGACTGGAATTTTTCTGAATTTGATTTATCATTTTCCTTTGCAGGAAATTTATCATTTCCTGCAAAGCAGTATTGGCAGGCTCTCTGCAAATGGTTGTGCTGGTTGTTTACCGCACAAGCACTGACGGGACAGATTCCAGCGTGCAGCCTGTGCTCCTCTTGCCACGCCATGGCCCTGGGAGAAGGGGTCTTTTCCTCATTTGTACAAAGGCACCATATAGGTTCACTTAAATATTAAGCATGCTCTACTACAGAATAAAAAGAGTGAGGGTTGTGTCCAGGACTGGTCTCAGCTTCCAATTCTGTGGCTGTTTTCCTGTGGACATTAATTGAGATGTTTTGTGGTTACAGAATTCAGTGATTGCCGATGAGCTTCCATTAGCATTCTTGATTATTTTTGCTTGTAAACAAGGTTAGGCAGTCTGTCCCAGGAATTCTCAGAGTGCTAAACGAGGCGGGTGAAGATGGCACCGTGATGCATTTCTCGCTCTTTCTCCCCTGCATATGCCATCATAAGGGTAGGGCTGTGGAGTGGAGTGGGGGAATACCTGGACGCATTGCTTGGCCTCTGGACGGACACTCAAGGAGGTTGGGGACTTAGGAGGGCTGACCAGGTATGGCCACAAGTATATCAGCTCCTGGAGGACTTTCTAGTGAAAGACTTCCCACCACATTCCACAGCACATCAAGGTAATTATAACTTTGGCTAGAGAACACCAATTCTATGGTACAGAACGGTGACATTCAGTCACTACCTTGTGGTTACCTCATATATAAAGAGAGCTCCGTGGGGAGTTGTAAAGTGCATGCCACTAAAATATTAACACGTTTGTTTTTGCAAGGCTGTTCGACTTCAGCCGGCATTGCTACGCGTTACCACCCCCAGGTCTTCCACATACCGATGTTCACACCACAGGAGCCCGCACCAGACGGCTGCCTCCCCCACGCTCAGAGTGGAATTATTCTCAGGGATATTTGCAAGGCCTTGCCGTCAGTCACAAAGTAGCAGCTGGATCCAAGTGAGTCTACCCTGCTCTCCCCTCTCGCGAGGGGAAATGTTATAGTGATATTACTCATTGTAGCGAGTGTTGTTTGCACCACTAGAAGAAACTGGTTAATGAATGCACTATTTAGAAGAAAAGTTTTGACATTTTAAGATTACTGGTTGTTGCCTTTCCCCAGGAAAAGGAGGTCAAAGTACAGTCTTCTCTTTTGCGGGGTTTGGAATAACTCCGTTTTCCTTATGCTTTCCAACAAGAGAACTGTATCATGTAGATGGGTCCTTGGCCAGCATCAAAGGAAAAGGTCCCAGACCTGTGTTTTTCGTATTACAATCTTCTTTATTTCTTCCTTCAGATTAAAAGTGCCTCCACTTCCTACATAACTCCTTCTTTAATTAAGGTCAGTTAACCATTGCTCTCGAGAATACCGGAACTGAGTGGTAGTTTTCGATAATTAACACGGGCATTTTAATGAAGCAGCATGTGTTGCCTTTTTCTGTGTGAGTGCCGTGAGCCCTCTGTGTGCAACTCTGCCTTGCTCATCCCTGTGGGTCATTCTGGCTCCTCTTCTCTCCCGTCATCGACCTTTTGGCCAGTCTACTCTTCATCAGGGGAAAGGAACACACTTCACATTTGTGTTATTCTTTCTGTCAGAAGCAGTGTGCCAGAGAGAACACACGGGATTTGAAGATGATCAGTGGACTCATCTTTCTATCCACATGTAACTTTATGCCCTCGACTTAGGCAGCATATTTCACATTATCGGTTGTGTTTGTTAGTCCGTACTTAACTGACTCCAGGTTCTGAAAACAAGATCGTAGCTTTCAAAGGACTCTCTGTATGCCAGTTCTCAGTCAGCACAACTAATAAAGTTGTTGGACAGTGAAACCAGGCTCTACTGCTGCGATCCTTTAAGGAAGCCTTGAGCATCTCAGCAGTTAACGCTGGGTCCTAAGAGGGAGGTCGGGAGTGACTGAACCTTGTGGTGGATGCACCACACATCCCACCTGGCTTCCAGGCCCACCAAGCATCTTTTCAAGGAGAAAGCTTTGCATGTTTCACAGGGAGTTTCCATCACTTAATTCAAATGTTTTCAAAACAGAGTGGAAGACACATTCTCTGAATTAAGTCTCCTTTCAGTCATATCCACAAGGATTGTTACACGGTGAAATTCACCAACTGCCAGGATGTGCCCGAGTTGTCATGGCTGGGAAGGTCTCAAGACTGGAACATTTGCGTTTGAGACAGTGGAATCTTTTTATAATGTTAGCTTTGGGAGAAGGGGTGACGATCTTGCTTTATAGCCAAGACGGTATCACCTCAGACTTGGTCTGGAAGAATTTACACCAAGACCTGTTATAAGCTGTAATAAAATGGCGGCCTACTGTATTAATTCAAGTGAAACAGAAGGTGAAGGCGCTGTGGAAGAGTCAGTGTGTGGGAGATGGTCCAGAGTCACTTGCTGCTTTAGTGCACTGTTCCACGAGTTCTGGGTGATGGGTGGACAGCCCCTTTGGGAAGAAGATGCCTCCCCTTGGTGAGAAGCTGATTGTGATGGCTGATGTGTGGATGGATGTATAGGTGCAGTGTGGTTCAGCCTGTTTCCATTGTGCTTGGAAAAGCTGTTTAAGAAGTCCACTCCAAAACATGGAAAGTCATAGTGTTAGAATTTATTTCCAAATGGTGGCCTTCACACTGCATAGCAGCACTTTTTAGTATTTGTAACCTTTTGCTCACTTCAAGAGCCAGCTCTAACATGGTATGTATTCCATGCTGAGCAATATGGAGAGTTTTTCTTTTCTGATGATTTTAAACTCTTAAGGAGCAGAAAAGTGGCTTTGGTAAGAAGTAGTTATGAGTCCGTCAGGGCCCTTACTCATACGCCTCCCCAGCAGCCTCATGTGTGGTCACAGGAGCTCTCCTGTTCACGGCACTGTGTGTGACACGGACCTAGCATTTACTGTCGTGCTTTTACACTGATTCCTGGGACACAGCTTACCATTGGAACAACAGACCAGTGTTGCACTGTTTCTAAAGCTAAGCTTTTCCTTATTTTGGTACTACCTAAGTGACTTGGTTTTGACCATCCCTAGGAGAGGAAACCACTTTGCTGAACTTTAAAAAGTCCAACTGCTCTTTCGTCTTTTGCTTAGGAACCTGGTCTCTCCAGATGCACTTCGGAGGCACGGAGAGCCCAGCATGTGGCTGGAAACTGGCAGTTTACAGCTGGGACCAGGCTGCTCCCAGGGCATTGCAGCAGCTTCTGGCACCCCTGGCTCAATGTCTTTAGCAAAGCCTTGACTTCATGGAGAGAGAAAGCGTGCAGTGCAGTTAGCTACCTGAGTTTGTAAACAGTGGCTGACATGGGCCCTTACATCACCTTCACGCCTTTTAGAACCACAGGTGGTTCTTTCTGACTCAAAAGAAGATAAAGTTGAAAAAAATCAAGCACCTAGGTATTGGGGGGCACTATCGCATTGTTTGAGTGCAGCACTTGCGTTCAGAACCTCTGTGCCGTTTGGTTTTTAAACAGGAAGACTGTTGGTTCCTTAGTAGTAAGAGTCCCTGTGTTGAGTGGAATTTTTCACTTGTAAGAGGTATGCCCCTTTCTTCTCCACTTTCCTCACAGGATATTGCCTGCCGTAAGACCATCCCCTACGGTGGAACTTTAATATTAAACGGTAATATTCTTTACAAAAAAAAAATTGTGTTTTGTTTCTACTGCCTTGAAACCTGTTTTTTCAAGTGGGAACCTGCACAGCTGAAATAAAGGCACCACGTGTAGTTACGAATGTGCAGATTCATGTGTGGTGACATGAAGGCCATTCAGATACGTGCAGATGGACATTTTCATTCAAGTATATTAATGTGGATATTTTTAAGTGGGTTATAAGCTTAGAACATTGTCTTTGAGAGAGAAATCACAGCCGCCATCCAGCCCGTCTTCTCTAGGGACGCTGCTGACAGGCCAGGGGCCCACCTGCACTGAGGCAGCCACCCAGCTGTAGCCACACCGAGCTGCAGCCAGTCATGCTTTCGGAACCGTCGATTCAGTCCGTCTCCTGGAGCAAGAAAGGAGAGAGCGAGAATCAGCGAGGCTAATTCACAAACCAGGCTCCAGAACTCTGAAGCAAAGCTGGGATTTATGAAAACACATTCTCCAGAGCCCTGAAGTCCTGTCCTTCTGTCCTACTTCTTGCTACATGGAGGCAACTGCCAGAAACAGGCTGTTGAGGCGGGGAGGTGGCTGTTCGCGTCTCCGAGGCACTGACGGTGTGGAAAGGCCCCTGCTGGGTCAGAGGAATCACGATCCTGTCTCAGCCGCCAGCCTCTGGTAAGCTGTCCATACAGACTGCTGCACACGTCCTGCCCACTCGTTCCCCCTTTACGTGGTTATTGGTAAAAGTTGCCCAGGAATCGCCTCGGGCTTACCTCCTTCTAACAAACAGTTCAGCTGGGTTTATATTCATTCTGTTTTTAAAATGCCTGTGTAACTGAAGACCACAGCATAGAAGGAATGATTTTTTTTTTTAAGACGGGGTTTCACCATGTTGGTCCGGCTGGTCTTGAACTCCCAACCTCAGGTGATCCGCCCGCCTTGGCCTCCAAAGTGCTTGGATTACAGGCATGAGCCACCATGTCCGGCTGGAATGATTTTTTCAGAGTTCTCAGTAGCAGATTAGATGCTATTTTACTTAAAAACCAAAGCTTGAACTAATGCTTCTGATGTCATAAAATCCCAAACATTCGCTAGTATTTTTAAATTTACAAATAGGACACTCCACTTCCATGTGGGTCTATGAAACCAGATTTTAAGGACTGTCTGGCCCTTCTTGGGCAGCATCGTGAACACTGTACGTTTGTTCGTTTTTAGAGACAGGGTCTTGCTTTGTTCAGGCTGGAGTGCAGTGGCACAATGATAGCTCACTACAGCCTTGAACTCCTGGGCTCAAGCAAAGAGAACCTTCTGCCTCAGCCTCCAGAGGAGCTGCTTCAACCTCCGTGATGGCGTGGACTATAGGCGCATGCCACTGTGCTCAGCTACATTTTTTTTTTTTGTGACAGAGTCTCCCAGGCTGGAGTGCAGTGGCATGATCTCAGCTCACCGCAACCTCTGCCACCTGGGTTCAAGCAATTCTCCCGCCTCAGCCTCCCGAGTAGCTGGGACTATGGGGACCTGCCACCACGCCTGGCTAATTTTTTTTTGTATTTTTAGTAGACACGGGGTTTCACTGTCTTGGCCAGGCTGGTCTTGAACTCATGATCCACCAGCCTCAGTCTACCGAAGTGCTGGGATCACAGGTGTGAGCAACTGTGCATGGCCCTAAACTAATTTTTTTTGAGACGGGATCTTGCTCTGTTGCCAGGCTGGAGTGCAGTGGTGCGATCTCAGCTCACTGCACCCTTCGCCTCCTGGGTTCAAGCAATTCTGCCTCAGCCTCCCGAGTAGCTGGGACTACTGCCACCACGCCCAGCTAATTTTTGTATTTTAGTAGAGATGGGGTTTCACCATGTTGGCCAGGATGGTCTCCATCTCTTGACCTCATGATCCACCCGCCTTGGCCTCCCAAAGTGCTGTGATTACAGGCATGACCCACTGCACCCAGCCAGCTAATTATTTTTAAAAGTTGTTTAGAGTCAGGGTCTTGCTGTGTTGCTCAGTTTTATCTCAAACTCCTGGCCTCAAGCACTCCTGCTGCCTCTGCTTTGCAAATCGCTGGGACTACAGGTGTGAGCCACCATGCCCAGCCTTTAGACTGTGACTTCTAATACCTGGTTGTGGGACAGATGTGCTCTGGAAAAGATTTAGACAGTTCCCACCCCCCCCTTTTTTTGAACCTCTTTGGTTCACATTACACTTTGCTTTTGAGTTAGAGTCTCACTTTGCTACCCAGGCTGGAGTGCAGTGGTGCGACCTCTACTACTGCAACCTCCACCTCCAGGATTCAGGCAATCCTCCTGCCTCAGCCTCCTCTGTAGCTGGGACTACAGGCATGCACCACCATGCCCAGCTAAGTTTTGTATTTTAGGAGACAGGCTTTCACCATGCTGGCGAGGCTGGTCTGGAACTCCTGACCTCAGGTGATCTGCCCGCCTTGGCCTCCCAGAGTGCTGGGATGACAGGGGCGAGCTGCCGCACCTGGCCACATTACACTATTTCCATGACCTGCTTGTGCTGTGAGGACTCCACCAGGAGCACAGTGTGAGCCTTTACCGTCCCTCTGAGTGGAGCATGTCTCCAACAGCAAGCTGGTAAAACTCAAAAGGACTCCGGGTGCTCCTCACCACCTTCACCCAGCCTTCTTGCTAACAGCCAAAGCAAACCTGAGCAGCAAAGCCTGTAACCCTTGTGCCGGCATCAGATGCAGGGGCCCCGCTGGGCTTCTCGACCATCCAGAGAAAAGGGCATGGGTGGCAGGCAGGGAAGGGCTGACTTCACGGGTACATACGTTTCTGGCTAAGCTCCTCACATAGGCACGTAGGTTCTGGTTAATGAAATTCACTGTTGTGCGGAAGACATCACGGAGCAAGGACGGCGTGTGATTGGCCACCTCCTTGGCCAGCAGCAGGGCTAGCACCAGCATGGTCTTCTCTTTGTCCATGTCCGTAGGGTGGGCCTGCAGTAGCTGCTCCAGGGCACTGGCCAGGTCCCTCCTCCGGTCCTGCATGGGGACACACACAACCTGGGTCACCAATACGCAAAGGAAACACAGTCCCCAGTCTGAAGCAGCACTTCAAAGGGAAGTATTTATTAAGTAGCCAAGGCTGCTGGGCGGAAAGAATGAGAAACGGTTGAGTTTTGAGGCAACGGAAAGGGAAGACTGCCATCTCTCCCTGCAAGGGCGTCACTGAGCAAATACATGTGCAGTGAGCCCCTGCGCTGTTAGACGGTGATGGAATTCAAGAAGCCTGGGTCGGCCCTGGCCCTAAGGCACTTCGAGTCCAGAGCTAGTGACCACCTGCGACACCTGAGGCCCATCTTATTGGTGCAGACCCAGCTGAATGGAGGGGAGGAGGCGGCGGCATGGGGGAGCGGACACAGACTATGAGGCTGGCAAGGACCCTCAGGCCCATCGGTACACACGCAGAATTACACAGGAGGGCGCCAGACACTCCTGCGTTCTAGGCAGCTGCTGGGGACAGCATGGGGATGGTGGCAGCCTTCTGGGAAGGCCTCAGGCTGGCCCTGCTGAACAGAAGCATAACTGGGTTTCTGGGAGGTGCGGCGCCTGCGTTTTTAGCTGGTAGAGGCAAAAAGGTAGAACTTTCTGTCCTCTCAGCTCCTACTGCTACAGGCCCGTATTCGGCAGTTCGAAGGATGTGGTCCTTCCCGCTAAATGTTTTGGGGACCCAGTGCTCCGGACCAATCTTTGTGTCCCCCTCAGTGCCAAGCAAATGGCAGAGCTCAGGAAGTTGTGTGGGTCCAAATAAGGAGGCAGCAGGGCCAGGGCTTACGGCTCTCACTGGCGCCCCATTAAACCCCTAAAACCGAAGATGGCGTCGTTACTTCTGCTAACCAAACATGCTTCATTCATCTTTCAAAGGCCTTTACCCCTAAACGCTACTCTAATTTAACATTCAGGTTTGCTCAATGTCAACCAGCTGAATTCTTCTGAAAGGCAATGAACCATGCCCTACGTCCAGTTACTTTTCAGAGTTCCAGACTTGACAGTCACGAGTTGAGTGGCCTCACGGGACAGGGGGCTGCCTGTGAGAGGCGGGGCACAGGCCCCTGGGCTCACGTGCCTGCCCACGCGGTCCTCAGGCCCTCACTCACCTCCTCTGACCGGCCGGCGTTCCTGAGCTGCAGGGCCAGGCGGTTCACCAGGCCCGGGGGGATGCTGCGGTCCAGGCTGTCCCCGACCTGGGCGAGCTGCCTGGCAATGTTCCGGATGACGTCTTCTTGACTTTCAGAATCTGCATGTTCAGGCAGGGGTGGCAGGGACGAAGCAGACTCAGACAATGGCCCTGATACCCTCCCCCATGCCACCCTGCCCCAGGAAAGGACACTTCTGCGGTTGGACAAGGCCAGTCCCACCCCCTCCAGTGTAGCGCCAGCCCCCACTGGGCATGTGCTCCACTCCAGCAAGCCGACTGCGGGAGGGCTGGGTACCAGCACTGAGCTGGGTTCTAGGCAGTACCCAAGCCTGGGGCCCCGGCTGAGGCCCAGGCTCCCGCACACGGGCACCATGTCCCCATGGGTAGGGCCAGTGAAGCTGGGGTGTCACAACCACACCCGAGGTACAAACCCAGCAGCGGTCTCATGGCTCACACCACACAACCCAGCAGGGTCGGCCTTGGCCTGGGCAGCCGTTAGGAAGGTGCCCTGCGGGCAGATGGCGTCCCAGACCCACCTCCGCGCTTCCCAGCCTGAGACCCCTCTTCCTCACAGTCCCATCTCAGGAAAACCCCAGTTGTCACTGGCACCAGAAGGCCCTGGAGAATCTCCCCTGCCTTTCTAACCGGAGCTCACACCCTCGGCCCTCCTCCCCGGCGCACAGCCTCCGTGCTGTCCCTGCCCGAGGGTCACTGTCACCCCTCCCACACTCTGCCATACTCCCTGCCTCCTCCATTTCTTCCTCAGCACTTGCTGTGTCTGCTGCCCCTGCCGGAGGGTAAGCTCCCTCCCTAACAGCTGTGGTTTTTTAATCTGTTTTGTCCCCTGACAAATACCCAGCACTTAAAGCAATGCAGGGCACTCAGTAGATGCTCAGTTAACAACTGCAGGAACCAGGTGGTAGCGCACGCCTGTGATCCCAGTGCTTTGGGAGGCTGAGGACAGGAAATTGCGTGAGGCCAGGAGGTAGAGGCTGCGGTGAGCCATGACTGCACCACTGCATTCCAGCCTAGATAACAGAGCAAAAACCCTGTCTCTACAAGAAACTAGTTTATTTTTTTGAGATAGAGTCTCGCTCTGTCTCCCAGGCTGGAGTGCAGTGGTGCGATCTCAGCTCACTGTAACCTCCACCTCCCAGGTTCAAGCAAATCTCAAGCCTCAGCCTCCTGAATAGCTGGGATTACAGGTGTGTGCCACCATACCCGGCTAATTTTTGTATTTTTTAGAAAAGGCAGTTTCACCATATTGGCCAGGCTAGTGTTGAACTCCTGACCTCAGGTGATCTGCCCACCTCAGCCTCCCACAGTGCCGGGATTACACCCAGCACTGGGGTATCACCATGCTCAGGCTCTACAAAAAACTTCTGGGAGCCAGGTATACTGCACATACGTGTAGTCCAGCTACACCTCAGGAGGCTGAGGTGGGAGGACTCCCTGAAGCCAAGAGTTGAAGGCTGCAGTGCGCTGTGATCACACCACTGCACTCCAGTCTGAGCTACACAGCAAGACCCCATTTCTTAAAAAATTTTTGATTGCATGAATGTGAATGGGCCCCATGCCTAGCTCGTAGGAAGTGTTCAAAAGATGCCAGCTATTGTATTTTATCCCGTTAAATCTATTTTCTCTGTGCTTACAACTTCCCTCTGGCTTTTTTGGTGTTAGGGATGCTGCTCCCGCCCTCAGTCAACTGTCAAATCTCACCTTACGTTGCAAACACAACTGTTTCGCCTGCCCCTGCCACTAACCCCACCCTGGTGGGAGTCCCCTTAGCGCTCATCTGACGATGACAGCCCCACTCCCTGCCATCCAATCCACTCCGCCACCTCCACAATGCGGACCTCAGAGCTGGGCAGGGTGGGGGAAGCGCGGTGCAAGGAGCAGGCACGTCCTTGGACGCTGTGTTCTGGGGTCTCACGGCCTCCCTGGAGTCTGTCATGAAGCATGCAGTATGGCGACCATACCACTTGTCTTCCAAACCTCTCAAATGCTCACCTCTGCGTAACTGACAAGTCACGACCCAGCCTTCAAATACGTCTGACTTAACTTCCATGCTTCCTTTCCAGTGGCAAACTCAACTATTCATTGTAGCTTCTTTTTTTGCTTTTTTTTTTTTTTTTT